TTTTGGCACCAATTTATTTTTCAGTTGGCAGAAGCAAGTCAAATTCATGGACATGCCTTACATCTGAACATGCATACTTCTCTAGAAGCAAACCCTAATTTGAATGCCCAAAATACTCAGTATTCATGATACAGTAGGTGAACAACACCCAGATGACCTATTGCATCTGCTGAGATTCTGAGGTGTGGAACCAGTTGACATTTCTCTATCCCATAAGGCCACATGAGCTGAGAAAGCATCAGATTCAAACCTAGACACCTCCCTTGACCTGTAGCACTTACTATGTCATAGGTCAAGGACCACTGGTCCCAAAAGTGACGTAGTATTTCTGAGAATGTATGCATACTGTACATCTTCATTATAGCCAAGTACATGATTCATGAAATTCAGAGAATATGAAAGTACAAGAATTCAGAAACAGCAATGCCCTTATTTAGGAAGACCATGAACAATGCATGTAAAGTTCAGGACAATATAAATACATTTCAGATTTTTAAAAACAATTAAAAAAATTTGGTGCTGTATTGGGTAGCACTTAATTTACTTCACTTCATTGATCAGTGTGCAAAGTGATTCCAAAAAGCAAAATGACTTCAAGACAACTGCCTTAGAAGATGAAAAAAGGAAATTATGAACAAAGATTGCTTATAGCAAACCCGGAATCTGCAGGTGCACAAAAAGCATAAACAAAACATTTGTTTGGTGTGTCATTACACATTCTCAGTTAAATGGTAAACACTGTTCCATGTGTAGCGGACCACTAAAGGTCAAAGCAATCACAGCATTCTTGAGATATGACTGAGCGTTTGATGAGAAACATGTTGAAAGATTCTTCTCAGGGGGGTAAACTCATAAAAAAGCTCTCTTAGCACCCCCTAGTGGTCGATTAGCACCGGTATTTCTATAAAGGCTCCATGCTGACCCAAACTCTCCAAGCATTTTTATAATGCTTGAACGTACCTGCAATAAACAAACCACAGAGCTTCATTGTACATCACACTAAGAACATTTCCCAATCTAGAGCATTTTTTCTTGTTGTTGTACTGAAATAAACCTTCTTTGTGTAGCCAGAAGAGACACATTTAATACAGCTGGCCTCTTAATTCCCTGCCTGAATAAGATGGGAGGAAAGCATATATGCGTGTTGTAAAATAAACCCTTGATCTGTTTATTTGATTGCAGCTGTCTCAGGGAGAAGGCACTCGCACTTTGAGCGGAGGGCCGTGCTCAGGGAGGGTGACCTCTTTGGGATGAAACCAAAACATGAGGAAATACCTAGCACGCAACTCTCTGGCCAACGGCCCAAACAATCCATTACAGGCACCGTTAGGAAATGAGATGGCCTGTCCCGAGCACTCAGAGGTGGAATAAAACATTGTGAAGTACACTACAACTTGCAATACAAGTGGACCAGGAGGAAAACTAAAATGCTTTATTCCTGAAATAATGCTGATGTGGACCAAGACAGTCTGTTCCAGTGGGAGGCCTGGGAACCATTTATGGGTCAATGAAATATAAGAGTGTCCAAGATAAAGAAAAAGAGAAAGTCTAGTGTAAAACACGTGCCAAGTTCTTTTGTGAGAACACTTCATATTTACAAAAAGGAACTTCACATGACATTTTACAACCTGAACTAACCTTGCCTTGTCATAAAAAGATCAAATTATTTGATACATTAAGATTTTCTTATGTTTTTTTTAGTAGTTTTTATGACTTTTTCCCTTTAAATATAACATAAGGACAGTTGAACCTTCCTGATATTTTTGACTTTATGTCGCCCTAGTTTTTATTTATTTATTTTTATTTTAAAGTTACATACACTGCTGTTCAAAAGTTTGGGGTTGGTTTGATTTTGAAAGAAGTCTCTTACACTAACCAAGGCTGCATTTATTTGATAAAAAATACAGTAGAAACAGTAATATTGTGAATATTATTACAATTTAAAATACGTGTTTTTAACAGGTAACATGTAATTTGTTCTTGGGACGGCAAAGCTGAATTTTCAGCAGTCAGCACTCTAGTCTTCAGAGTCACATAATCCTCCAGAAATCCTTCTATAATATGATTTGGTGCTTATTATCGATGTTGAAAACAGTTGTGCTGCTTAATTTTTTGATGAAACGGTGAAAATATTTTTCCAGTATTCTTTGATAATTAGAAAGTTTAAATGAACAGCATCTTACTGACCCAACAGTTTCTCAGAGGTAGTGTTTATCAAGTTAGACTGTACATAAGTCTAGTTTTTACTTGAGAATTTAGCAAAAACAATCGGTGCATCTGAAATCGTGAACTGTCTGAGTAGGTCCTACATTTGAATTTGAATTTACTTCATGGATGTTGTACGTTGTACGTTGAAAGTAGGATGAATGAAAACCGGGCGCACTATATGCATCGCTTCACTGCCATTCATAAATCCTCTCTCGTGGCCTCATGGGATAGTAAAGTGTCCATCGAATGCGCACTTCAGAATCCAGGCGGAAGAAGTAGGTCATCCAGGTACTTTTTGCATACTATGAATTCGGACATACTACTCGCCTCACATACTGTTTTTTGCCTACTATATAGTAAGGAAGTATGCGATTTTGGATGCAGCAAATGTCTTCTATATGTATTTATCCAAGGCAGCACTGCACGATCAGATGTGTTACCATTGGTTACAGTGGAATTAGGGTTAAAGGAAAAAACAATCAGATGCATGTTTGAAGCCAACAAACATCCTGTTCTCCAACCGATTTGATAGATCAAGTATCTGTTTCCAAGCATTAGAATGGTAAAAACCCTGAAACCAAACCCTGTGGATCCCATAACTAGCTCAGCCCCCGGCCCTCTACCTGAGCTAGGCAGCTGGTGAGAAGGTAACTGATACACCCCTAGCACATAGAGAGACTGCGAATGGCTGCATCTAATGCTTCAACAGCTTCCCTTCACTAATTAGATATCTATTGTTGGGACAGTTCGGCTTAATTTTTGACGTCTAGTGGCACCCTGAGTTCTCACATCGATATAGGAGCAATGAATTGCTGATTTATTCATCTCCATGTTGACAGGGAGCTTATATTACTATATTAGATCTATGGAAGAGTGTGACCAGGGTGATTGGAAACTGCGTAATTAATTCTGTAAAATTTCAGATATGGTACTTCAAATTTAATGAATCTTAATTGGCTTCAATTGGTTTTTAACCTGTTAACATAGCAAAAACTTGGCTTTTAGTTCTAGATCTGGCTTTATTTGTTTTATACTTACAGCTAAATTTATATGGAACATTCAAATTTATAATCAAGAACTTGCTTTATGGTTCCAGTCCAACTTGGAAAACTTTTATTTTTAATTATCTGTATACCCTATACAACATGCTTATTTAAAGGAAATTAATATTCAGCTCCTCTAGAATTTGTTCATATGGATTTTAACTCACACATTCAGTATTAGCTTGTTAAACGTGTTTTATCAGCTAAGCAAGGTATGTTGGAAGAAATCCAAGACAAAAAAAATTAAAACTTCTTGAATAGGAACAGTAAAAACAGCTGCTATTTCTACCGCCCCTTAATGCATTAATGCAAAAAGAAAAGAAAGAATGCACAGTTGTCAGATACAGTAAATCACCAGAACAGCAGTATCCCCCATAGACTGATCCATCAATTTTGTGCTCTAAATGTGGAATTAATTTATTTTCCTATGTGGTTCAGTTGTTGTGCCCGCCCCGACAGCACTACCATGTTCACCCTTGAAAAATGTATGACTTAAATTGAGCAGCATCTTATTTACCACGTGAAACAAGAAGGCTGAGAAGCCATTGAGGTGCACTGCACACAAAAGCTTCTTAGAAAGTAGGTGCTACATGACACCTTAAGTTACTGGCTTGATTTTCATAGACGCTCTTCATGTGAATGGACACATCAGTCAAAACAAACTGATTGTGAAAGATCTGGATACAAAACAACTGAGAGAACTGACCCATCGAGGCAAGAAGTGAAATTGGATGAGAGCTTTTGCTTTCTGAGTTTGTCTTTAACCCTCTGATGCATGATGTCTACAACACATCCTTCTTAAACATTCATGGCATGATGCTACATTCAAAACATGTGTGACAACCTTTGACCCTTTCTCATAATTATACATGTCTGTTCTTGTTATTATTTATAACAGCATAATTCAATATGGTTGACAAAACTGGTAAAGTAACATGAACCTCATGATATTTTTCAGTAGAATAGGTTTTAAGGAACTCGTTTACTCTGCAAATATTCATGTATTTCTTATAGTTTACATATAGTAAATGAAAATATATCCACTGTAATCTGCACTGTATATATCTGATGACTGGACATCTCAGTGGGAATTTTCATTCATTTTTACAGTGAATATTTATATTTAAAAAAATAACAATAATACTGTGGGTTAAAGGATTAAAAAGGATTATAATTATTTTTGATTATTTACAAATTGCCATTGACTTACATTGCATTCCACCTTAAATGCATGGTGACAGATCTCCAACTCACTTATTATTAAACAAAATAAATTAATGAATGAGTAAATTAATAATTAAAATTCATTCAAATAAAGAAATAAATGGTTAATTATTTTTATTCTTGTTTTGAAGTAAAAAAATTAATATTAGCATAAATAAAAATAAATATTGTAATTTATCATTTCATAATTAATGCATCAGAGGGTTAACCCTCTAGCATTTGACCATGAATTATCTTTTAAGTCGATTTTATTAGCTTCAGTAGACATTATTTCTGACTTTCAGTTCAAAAAGCATTGTTTAAAATGACCCTAAGGTCAACAGTGGCAAAACATATAGTGTAATTCATTTATGTCACTACTTAAAATATTTCCACAATCAAGATAGGGCAACATGAAATTTCAAATAATGCCAGTGTTTCATGTGTGCACCATGCAGCTTTACAAAGACAAGTGAAACAGCTAAACCTAAACGATCAACATACTGATGTCATTTTTCTTCTGCCGAAGTACGAAATAAACCTTACATTTCTCTCCAAAGAGCGAAGGTATCTGGCACACTCAAAGTGGCCGTTGTATTCAGCCAGATCAGCAGCCGTGAACCCATCTATGTCCCTTTCCTTTGGGTTGATCTGGTGACCCAGGAGGATTTGACAGCACTGGGAAATTATTTTTGATTGGATCATTATGATTTAAAGGCATACTTTAAATCATTTCTGTTTTAGACACCACACAACAGACTCATCCTAATTTAAACCCACCTCTATCTCCCCATTCTCTGCAGCATCATGTAGAGGAGTGCCACCCCAGTAATCCCTCTTGACCTTTGATCCCATCTGTAACAACCTCTCCAAGATCCGATGATGCCCCCCACTGGCAGCAAAGTGTAAAGCAGTCACCCCTTCATTATCTTGACAAGACAGGCTGACATCTGTTGAGGACACCTGAAGTAGTCCAAACAAGTATTGTGCACTTATAAACCTGTAGTAGAGCTCTAGTACAACATGATGCCAAAGCGTATATGTGTGTAGGTGAATGTATAACCCACCAGCCATACCACCAATGCATGGTGGCCCATGTGAGCTGCAGCATGCATTGGCGTCATGCCATCTTGGGCTCTTAGATGCACGTCAGCTCCACAGTAGATGTCCCTCCTGGCTGGCCAGATAGAATGGCGTGGCACCCATATTAGTCTGTCTATTAACACACCTGAAAAGGTCCATTTGGGTGTTTATTCAAGTGGGGGTTTGAAGGCTGATATGAATTTCACACTAAAAGATATTTCTGCATAAAATCCCTCTCCCACTATTGGTATTCCCATGTCCTTATCTATGGATGACATGCATTCCCCCTTCAATTAACCTCTGTGTTACTGGTCATCTTGGCCTTTGTGGCCAACAACATAAGATTCACTCACTGGATTTAATAACTGTGCTAAAAGATTCAAACATGTGCTAAAGGCATCTTGACATATAAGGTCTGGTAAATCAACTATTTTAGCTAAGGATAAATAGAGCAAAGGATTGTGTCAGTGTCTACCACTGTTAAACCAATTACTGTCTGGATATTAATCACTGGAGGCTAATTTAAAGTTCATGGGATTGTATGGAGCTGTTCAGTTATGACATTAATTTGCAGGCCAGCTTGGAAGGTGAATTTTCTATAGGTTCCATATGGTTTTATAGTTTTCAGTGGGTTTTTAAGAATCGTGGTTTGTATATATATATATATACAGTGGGTACGGAAAGTATTCAGACCCCCTTAAATTTTTCACTCTTTGTTATATTGCAGCCATTTGCTAAAATCATTTAAGTTAATTTTTTCCCCTCATTAATGTACACACAGCACCCCATATTGACAGAAAAACACAGAATTAGATTTATTAAAAAAGAAAAACAGAAATATCACATGGTCCTAAGTATTCAGACCCTTTGCTGTGACACTCATATATAGAGCTTCACAGGTTGCCACTGGAGTCCTCTTCCACTCCTCAATGAAGACATCACGGACCTGGTGGATGTTAGAGACCTTGCGCTCCTCAACCTTCCGTTTGAGGATGCCCCACAGATGCTCAATAGGGTTTAGGTCTGGAGACATGCTTGGCCAATCCATTACCTTTACCCTCAGCTTCTTTAGCAAGGCAGTGGTCGTCTTGGAGATGTGTTTGGGGTCGTTATCATGTTGGAATACAACTATGGATCATACTCTGCTTCAGTATGTCACAGTACAGGTTGGCATTCATGGTTCCCTCAGTGAACTGTAGCTCCCCAGTGCCGGAAGCACTCATGCAGCCCCAGACCATGACACTCCCACCACCATGCTTGACTGTAGGCAAGACACGCTTGTCTTTGTACTCCCCACCTGGTTGCCGCCACATATGCTTGACACCATCTGGACCAAATAAGTTTATCTTGGTCTCATCAGTCCACAGGACATGGTTCCAGTAATCCATGTCCTTAGTCTGCTTGTCTTCAGCAAACTGTTTGCGGGCTTTCTTGTGCATCATCTTTAGAAGAGGCTTCCTTCTGGGACGACAGCCATGCAGACCAATTTGATGCAGTGTGCGGCGTATGGTCTGAGCACTGACAGGCTGACACCCCACCCCTTCAACCTCTGCAGCAATGCTGGCAGCACTCATACGTCTATTTCCCAAACACAACCTCTGGATATGACGCTGAGCACGTGCACTCAACTTCTTTGGTCGACCATGGCGAGGCCTGTTCTGAGTGGAACCTGTCCTGTTAAACCGCTGTATGGTCTTGGCCACCGTGCTGCAGCTCAGTTTCAGGGTCTTGGCAATCTTCTTATAGCCTACGCCATCTTTATGTAGAGCAACAATTCTTTTTTTCAGATACTCAGAGAGTTCTTTGCCACGAGGTGCCATGTTGAACTTCCAGTGACCAGTATGAGAGTGAGAGCGATAACACCAAATTTAACACACCTGCTCCCCATTCACACCTGAGACCTTGTAACACTAATGAGTCGCATGACACCGGGGAGAGAAAATGACTAATTGGGCCCAATTTGCACATTTTCACTTAGGGGTGTACTTACTTTTGTGGCCAGCGGTTTAGACATTAATGGCTGTGGGTTGAGTTATTTTGAGGGGACAGCAAATTTACACTGTTATACAAGCTGTACACTCACTACTTTACATTGTAGCAAAGTGTCATTTCTTCAGTGTTGTCACATGAAAAGATATAATAAAATATGTACAAAAATGTAGGTATATACAGGTATATAACCTTAAAAAAAGAATTGAACATTTAACATAAGATATACTAAAATATACTACATACACCAACTCTCTGACTCTCATGTGGGATTTTCTAACCCCTGAGGTTAATATATGCATTCCCCTGGCTATAAGTTAAGTTTAACTTATCCTACACACAAACGCACATCTATTTCATCCTGACTATATCTCCGTATCAGTTTCAGATGTGGTCATGCTACAGACGCAACATGAATCTGTACATGCGTGAGAGAAAGGGAGAACAGGAAGCAGAAGTGATACACTTACACAAGACAACTGATAATCAATTTTAGGGTCTGAAGTGAATTAGTTTGATGGTTCATTAGATCACTATAGCTCAATTACTCTTCCTCCATCGCTTTTCATTACATGCAAAAGTTATGCTAATAACTGAGCAAACTGAGGAAACTCAAGTTTGAATTAAAAAAAAAATCTAAATACCCATGTCTGTTCTTAGAGCAGTTGCCATCAAACCCAAATCTAGCAAAATGAGACTAATGAGGAAGCACATTCATGATGCGTTGGTGTCAGGGGCACATTATGTGTGGCCTCATTCTTGTGAGTAGATCAGGACATGCCATACATTCTTGTCACATGTTCACTTCCGGTTACACCACCCAAGCAGAGCATGTGTTACAAGAGACCGACATTTCAAAGTACATGGATAAATAACATGATAGGCTACTTTGCCATTGTTGTTGTCATTTTCTTTTTCTTTAACGTCCTGTAGTTTAACCAAAAGCTACACTGGGTCAGTATAAGAAGGAATATCAAATTATAAACTTCACAAGAATTCATACAGATAATTTAGTCTCCAATTAATTATAAAATAAATAAGATTGTATAATTCTGAATATTGTGAAAATCACAAAATTGTGATGCATATAATTATAATTAAATATATGCAATAATATGATTATAAATATTTATAAGAAATTGGATGCTGTTAAGAATATTATTGAGTTGCTTTTTGGCACATGCTGTTCCAATTCCATTAATTTAATTGAAATCGGTTCAAGTGGCTGAGCTCTGAAACTCTGATTGCTCAATGCTGTCAATATATGAATATTTATATGATTGTAATATTAATATGAACCTTTATTTGACACTCTAACTCTAACACTTTCTATTCTATTTTAATTCTACTTTATATTTATCTTCTTTTTTCTTTTTTCTTTATTATTATGTAAAAAAAACAAAAAACAAAAAAACAAACACTAGCTTTCTATTTTTTCTATTCTATCTACTTGTTTTTCTTTGTGTGTGTGTGTGTGTATAATATATATATATATAAACACCTTGCTACGTGTACTGCCTTAGGCTAACCGAGACTTGTCATTTGCACTTATATATTGTTGCTCTTTTGTTAGTTTTGACTGCTTTTATTGTCCTCATTTGTAAGTCGCTTTGGATAAAAGCGTCTGCTAAATGACTAAATGTAAATGTAAATAATCTTCCAGTAACTAAACTTTTAATTTGAGAACCATCAGTGCTGAATCAATCATGAATCTTGAATGACTCATTGCAGTCCTCTGATTTAAAAGAACTCTCTCATTAATGTTTCAAGAAGAGCGAAGACAGATGTCAGGATTTTTTACAGTAAAAAATGAATTAAATTTGCCTTATTTGTATTGATGTATTATTTAAATTTTTTTAAACTTATTATTAATTATTGTTATTTTATGTATTTGTTCATTTTTTTGCAAAGGTATTGTACAGTATGCTTCAGAATTTTTATGGATGTCTTAATACCTTTTAATTTTGAGTGACCAGCATGCTATCCAAAATATCTTATTTTGTGTTCCACTGATGAAAAAGTCAGGTTTAGAACATGATGGTGAGAAAATTATGACCAAATGTTTATTTAGGGTGAACTATTCTTTTTAAGATTTGCTTCATTCATCAAATGCTTTTTAATATGACTAATTTCTCTGTTCAGAAAACAACAAGAACAAAAAAAGTCTCATTTTTTAACCTGTAATAGCTGTGTGAAGATTGATTGGTAATGGCTTGTCAACACACACCTCCGCAATAAATCCAGTATCTGAGCCCAGCAAGAGCTAGCCTGAGGCGAAAGTAGTGCCACGTCCCTTTGGGTAGGAGACTAGGCTTAAAGCCCTCAGAGCATATTGAAATGCCATGTTTGGCAGATCCCTCATTTGTGAAGCAGAAATCACCAACTAACCGTGCAAAGAGAGATTTTCAAATGGGATTTCTCACACTCTAACCTTGTAGTGCCGGAATTTCAAATGAGATTTCGCCACCTGCTAGCGTGCTAGCGTAAGGGGGGATTCACCTGCTGTGTGGGGGGCAGGGTTTATCAGCCATTAACTACTGTTCACACCAGCGCAGTTTCCCGCCAAACGGTTATCTCTACTCGCCCACCTGCCTTCCTCACCGCTTTTCGTAGCGAAGCTTCAGCTAGCAGATATTTGCAGTACAGCGTAGCGTGCCTCACCTGTTAATCAAAGAACTCTTATACCGAGCTTTACTGCCAAACCCTTATATTCTTGTCAAACTATAGTACTTTACACTATGTGCAAGCAGTGCTATCTCCTGCTGGATTACCTTGCTCTTCAGATGCTTGTCAGATTAGCTATATGGAGCTATGGATATGCTATCCTTGAGATCAGAGGTGTTTATTTTTATGTTGGCCTCAGTGTTAACTCTTGATAGTATGTTGGTTTCTATCTGTGTTCTCAAGCTTGAAGCGGAAAAAGTCAGTGTTACTGGTCTCTAGCAAGATTAGGGAGGTAACAAAGGTTTCTTGAGAATTCAAACAAACCTGATTCTCTAATCAGTGTTCCCACTCTTTCTGGCCACAGACTTTTCCATGATCTTTTCAGTGATTTATTTTTAG